TACAAGGAAGGCAATGGTACACTCTTTTCAAAATGCCTGATCCCACTGCTATTATCATGTCTGAAAATCTTTCGTATTTTCCTATGAGCGTATGACACCTATAACTAACAAGTTTACGTTTCTCACATTCACGGGTAAATCAAGATGATGCATTCATGTGTCATACCATGTCATAGGGTGACCAATAGCTTTCATGCTCTTCTCGTGTATTTTCAAAGAAGCAAACATAACATTTTTGTTGGCAAAAGATAAAAAAGAATTATGATAAAAGCTTAAATAGATATGCAAGTATATAATTTAGTATTATAAACCGCCATATCATCACAGCAGTTATGGTATATATTTTAAATTTATTTCAATTTATACCTTAAGGGCAACGATAAATAAAGTGCACAGTTGAGAGGTCTTTCTAAGAATAATCTTTATAATTTATTTTATTATTTATATTGTTTATACATATACATCCTACTAGCACAAGAAATAATTACAATACATGTACAATTTTCACAGCAGTCACAGTAACGTGATCTATGTTCACTGCAGTGAAAATAAACCTTCGCCGGGACTACCGGTAATGCAGTTACCGGCACATGCGCATGTCATATGCGGCAGAAGCGGGGCTTCGGAAAGTTAGGTACATTTACATGTTGACAATGAAATGGTTTTTACATCTAGTTGAAGATTTACTGGATAACAGTTCTTATCATGTGATATCTGTTTGAAACAATTTATCAGTTATGCTTCAAATGAATTGATGAGCGATCGCGCTTTTTGGTTTCATTCGTCGCCATGTTTGTCTAGAATTTGATATTTTAGTGATCTATAAGTTAGATAAAATACCTCAAACAGAAAATGTCCACTCATTAATTCAGAAGGTATGAAATAAAATATCAACAATATGTAAATTACAATGAATAATTTAATTATTTTATCATAAATTTTGTTATATGAATATAATTAGCACTTATCTGGTGTGTGTGCAGGGAGCTGTGTCTGAAAAGTCAGTGTGTGTACATTTTGCGAATCACTATATGGGAGATGCATCAAATTCCACTAGACACATTGAATATATCCTCATTATAATACACAGTTGAGCGAACGTATGGTGTGTATTATGAACTCTGTTTTTAACATTTTGCAAACCTTAAACGAAAACAGAGTTTTGATGTCTCCACAGTCTCGTCCTTGCCCTCCTCAGGGGGACATGGAGATGTCACCTCTGTTCAGGTGGGCGTCTCTATCAGCAGCAGCATCAAAAATCCATAGGCGTAGGCAAGAAAAATGGATGAAAGAAGAGCCGAACAGGATCATTTTTGCGTTAAGTCTTTACGCACTTCTCATTACAGGTCGAAATGTCCTACAGTTGTCACTCTTGTATTTTCATATGGCAGCTTGGATACACATCTCTGTGTTGAAGTAAGATTTCATATTTGATATGAAAATTTTATATACCCATAAACACAAACATCACAGCCGATAAATTAGATAGTGTATGAAACATGTTGCTCTCATAATCAGCGAGATATTGTCATGCGTGTGTTGACAGGCTGATTAATGATAGCAGTAAAATTTAACCATTTACAGTCACCCATTTTTACATGAGCTACTAATATCCATAATTGACCTGAATGCATTTTAAATTTCCAAAAGTAAGTACGTATTGCCTGATGCTGCACAGCCGTACTCCTGTCATGCGATCTCAGCCTGTAAACATTCTTTGGTTAACATTCCTTCAAGGAACCGAATCGCCTGAAATGTTTAAACAACATTGTTTTGATAACCGTATTTAAAAGGATATTCAAGAAGGCTGCGCTTAACTGTGAGCCCACTGTGAGAGTCGGTCATACGTGATACACCTGAAAAAAGTTCCCCGAGCCATTCGCACTGCACCTCGCACTTTTAACGACCCGGGCTAAGAAATGCATGTCCTGGGGCTAGTTTACAACTCATACAGGACCAATTTGAGCACATTTATCAATCACCTGAATAATCCTTGCCCATGTTGATTGGCTTATTATGAGCAAAACAGATCACGATAAGAGAAATCTCATATCTGTTCGGTTCTTTGAATGAAAAGCTACCTAATCACACGTTCGTACAATGAACAGAATACCATTAAGCTTTCTGCATAAAACATATTTCAGCATTCAAAAACGGGAATACATAGTATAAATCAAAATGGGGAAATCCAACTGACACAATTTTTCTTACCCAAGCTTCAAATTTGGAAATGCCATCCACATGTACTACTGATGTCTTCTGTACAAAGCAGGATGTGATGCTTAGTTGCTGTATTATCGCTATACCATCATCATAAGCATCATTTGGTGAAGACAACCATATATACAAAACGTCATCGCTGGAGAAAAGTCAGCCTCGATTATCTGCAGAAAAAAACAGATTCCAGTGAGTTTTGAAAGGCAAAAGGTGATAATAATGTAATGGATGTATCAGTGATAGTCAGTGATGACACCAGGTGTTCTCGAATAGGCGAAGCATGACCTGCTCTATCGGTAGCATATAGCGACGTTTTGATGTAGGTTCTTACACCTTGACTACGACCAAATAATGTGAGGTACATGATATGTTGTGACAAGCAGCAGATAACAGTAGCAACAGCTCATGAGTAGTGCACACATGATTCTAGAAAGCGTGATGTACAGCGAGAGTAACAAATAGTCCACAGGTAATGAAGCAAGATGTACAGTAAGGATTAACCCTTTGAAACAAGCTGTTTGGATACTAATTAAAATGAGTCTTTTGCTTGAATATATCTTCATAGGCAGACAGGGTGTAATACCTTTGATCTCTGTTGTTCAATTTGTGACATTGGATTTCTATGGCTTGAGAGATTATTCTTTTTGTCAAGTCCTGGTGCTTGGCCTAGAGGGTTTGGACTTTGGGGAACAGAATTTGATGCCTATGGAAGGTTTGCTATTGACAAGCTTAACTGCAAGTAAAAGTGAGCATTTGCGTGATATTTCAATTCTGTGTACATGCACTAAATTCCCAAAGCAACTGGAAAATGTTGACGCTCGTGATGTGTATCACTGGACTGTCTGGTCCAGATTCGACTATTTACAGACAGCCATTATATAGCTGGAATATTGCTGAGTGCTGCGTTAAACCACAAACAAACAAACAAACAAATTTAGCTTGCTATCATTTTTAATTTCCATGCATAAATCCATCTGCATATCTGTGCATAACTACATCCATCGATTCTCAAAAAGGTATTCCATATTCATGTCATATGTGTCCTTATGTAGTTTCATCATATTCGTATGGTGATGATATTCTTCCTTACGATTGGTAATTGAACCAAAACACAAAGAGTTGTTAATAGCTCGATGTAAGAAGAATGCTGAAAAAATGCAAGTTATTATTATAGAGATTGTTTTTATACAGTCGAAGTAAGGATAAGATTTATGAATGAATAACTTCTTTATTACAAGAACTTCTAAATACCTATCAAAGAAATTTAATCAGTCTATTAGGGCATGAAATCAAGTACTAAACTCATGATTTTGTTGGTGAGTTCTACCTGTATACCAGGACATGCTTACCCTTTTGGCGATTTTCATCGGTTTTCAATGATCCCTTAATTCATGTTCACCAGTAATTTACCTGTTGGAGACAATGAAATCTGTTTGAGCGGGTAATGGAGGATGAATTTATCTGGCGTTGATGTTTTATATTAACAGTTTAGTAATCATCAGTATGTATATAAATAGATGTAAATATACACGCCCACTGTGATTATATGTCAGTTATAGTAATGCTTACTGTTTAATTTTGACCCGGGGTAGAATAGGTCTTCAGCAACCCATGCTTGCCGTAAAAGGCGACTAACGAGATCGGGTGGTAAGGCTCGCTGACTTGGTTGATGCATGTCATCGTATCCCAATTTCGTGGATCGATGCTCATGATATTAATCATCGGATTGTCTGGTCCAGACTCGATTATTTTACAGACCGCCGTCATATAGCTGGAATATTGCTGAGTGCGACGTTAAACAACAAACAAACAAAATACTGTTTAATTTTGATTTTTAAGGAATTGACCATAAATTACCGTTTCTTATCTTGGAATTTGTGAAAAAACAAGTTGCTGCACAAAGGTAAATAAAATACTTCTTATTTCCTTCTTCGAAAATGCACAAAATAAGGGATTGCATTACTGGTGATCCCCAAATCATGTTGGGATTCATGACAACAACATCCACGTTGAGAGATGGAGATTATGTAGAGTTTATCACGCTTGTGTGTTTGGGGATGGTAAATAACCTCTTTGTCATATATTGTCATTCTTCAATTCTGTGCTCGAAAAATCTCTTCCCATCTCTTACAAACATGACCTGAACATCGCAAGTTTTCCTTGAATGTTACGTCAGAAGGTAAGTGATGTGTCAGTCGGACAGTGACAATAGTCTCTATAGTTCCAACTCAAACTTGTTTCTAAAACAGTGGCGTAACTGCATATATGCTTGCCTTTCACGGCAATCCATCGGTCCGACCCGTTGAGTGAGTGTCCTTTGTAAAAGGGAAGTTAATCTAACCCTTGTCTATGAGACGTTACATTTCTTGCCAGACTGATTGTCCTATCATAACGTTAGAAAGTGCAGTCAGATGTTCACACAACGACAAAACGAAAAAAGAAACAGTTCGGATATATTTCGGCCACACCAACTGTTTTAATTTGGGAAAAAGGTTCAAAGCCGCAGAGGTCTACAAGCGCAGATATGGAAACTGAACTGAATATGAATTGAATATGATCATCATATTGATGAAATGGCGTGTGCCTTTCAAGTAACAGATGGAGGTGTTATCAAACACCTTTATTGGTCACCGTGCACGATTCGATTCCGACGGTAGTTCCATTAGGTCATATATTTCATTTTTACAACATTATTAATGGTGATGTTGGGTGATAAGCGTGAATTTTAACTTCATATTTGCATCCTTGACGTGTATATATAAACACGTAGACTTCCATGAATATATACCTGCCAACAGAAATCATCCAACACTGCCACAGACTGAAAAAGGTAATTGACATTGCTATTTAGAAATCAATTATTTCATCTTTTTTCGGTGCATAGAGGCAATAGGCCATCTATACATGAATAGAGATTGTATATCATATGTATTTAACATTCGAGGATACGAGGATTACTATATTAGTCTCCCAAACCCTAGAGAATAAATGACAAGATTCAAGAAATTTCATCAGATTTGCAGATTTGGTTGGTCCCTGAAACTAAGCACTGTTATGGCAACCATCCTTTTCTCTGGATATATATTTTCAGATATGATAACATTATTTCTGGGAATGAATGTTAGTCTAATCGTATCTGTCATGTAATGGATAGAGTGTCTGCCTTGGGAGCATAAGGCCGGTGGTTCTGTCTTATGGCCGCGTCATGCCACATGACTTTAAAATATGGTACTTATTTTTACCCTGCCTGGCGCTCTGCATGAAGGGGAAAAATAAGACTGGCTGCTAATTCAGTGTACCGTGTGGGATATGCATATATGCATATAAAATCTGCAGGATGGTTTCAGTGGGAAAGAACAATTAAAACCTCATACGTCCGGACTAGAACAAGCAGCATTGTCGCAAAGACCTAACATTTTACGTGTATATTTTACATTTTTAGGAATATATGGCTCAGACATTAGAAGTAGATACAGCCGATACGTTATGTTCCATAATGCTTAAAACATATGAATTAGAAATTACCCAAATGGTATTATTTGATATGCAGGTATTTGCATTTAACTGCCACATGAACTCACCAAGGCGTACCTATTCCCTATGTTTACATTCATTAAAACCCAAAGGTTTTTGACCATATAGAAGCAAAAGAGAGATTTCACACAAAAAATTATTGTAAAAATGGATAATGGGAATGAATAACGTTTCGTAATGAAAACCTTCTCTGCTTACAATGCTATAATATCAGAAGATTTCGACCATTTCAATCTGTTTTTAACCTTGCTTTTTTCGTTCACAAAGCTGAAATATGTTGTTTATATCAAGACACATTGTGAGGCATCATGTTAAATAAACGGATATACTATCATGCACCAAATTTACACCTTCACTCTTAGCCTAGGAAATTACAATCAATAACATTTTGTTATGATGCTCGATATGTCTGTCACGATCTCAGCAGTTTGATGCTCATTCAGAGGGTGAATTTCTTTTGATATTGATTATTTTAGAATAATATGATGTCGTTTTTACTTTCAATGGATTTTATTTATATAGCATATGCACTATTGCCTAGAAGTTCATTCCCCTAACACGCGTTGAGAACGCGTGTAACACGCATGTGACACGGGTGCTCAACGGGTTGCACACGGGTTGAGCACCCGTTGGACACGGGTGTGCAACGGGTGTGCAGCGCGTGTGCAACCCGTTGCACACGCGTGGGTCACTCGTTACACACGCGTGTGCCACGCGTGTAACACGGGACCGGGTTCCAGTTGAAGCTGACAAATTTATCAAATGAATAGTGAGATAAAACCAAACAGTAACATGTGAAATTTGAGTTAATGAGCGGCCATTGAGCTGTGTTCACCAGACCATAAATACAAGGTCGGCCCGTCTTAATTAGTGTTCGGTTGCTAGACTTTTATGGCATGAACCATTCCACTAGGGTCCAGTCTAGCCATTGTGGCTAGCCGACAGTATAACAGTATTGAATTTAGATGCGAGTTTATTGCTAGGGGAACCCCCGTGTTGACACGATTTTCGCGGGTTGGTAAATGTTCGCCATTAATAAAATGATTGTTTGTGGATTGCGAACATATTCATTTTGCCCACATGAGTCATTCCACTTGATTGCAAATATAACGTTTTTCGTTCGCCAAATTTATTTAACAGTACAATTATGATATAGCCGTCACCACTACTAATGTCTCATTATTTCACGTAGGAATATGTCCCATTTCCCCACACCCCACTTTCTGTTTTGTATTTTGAAAGAATAAATAAAAGAAAGTTTTGTGTGGGACACTTTTATACTAATTATAAGAGGATGTTGGAAATGAATATGAACAGCCATGCTGTCTGACTGTTGACAGAATTTGAGATCTTCACAATCACCGGGTGTGACCGTGTAGAATCTAGATTTTTACATTTGCCCAATGACCATAGTGAGTATTGCTGGGGATACCAAACGTAACTGTTTATGATTAGAGGTTGTGAGTACCTATACCACGTAGATAGGATATCTTTAGGATTTTAATCCTTCTTTGAGAGGCATTTAGAAGTTGGAGTACTACGTTAGGATAACTTATTTACTTGCTTACTTACTTTGGAGATTTAACGTGCGCTTTCCGACTGATGCGTATTTCGCACACGGGCCCGGCCAGGCCATTTAATGTGTTTCCGAAAGGGGCGAAAGTGGTGTGTGCAACCCAAGAGGGGGATTTAGGGGTTGCTTATATAGAATTTGGGAATTTTGAGATTTGGAATAGATGCCGATGGGGTTGGGGAGGAGAACTAAGGGAGCTGGGTATGGTGGATGTTTGTTTGTTTATGTGATTTTGATTTGGTAGATTATAGTGTTTTTAGATGCGTTTTATTAGTTCCGTTTTGATTAAGAATACGCCTAAGGCCTTGACGTTTTCTAGTTTATTTTGTGGGTTTAGTATTGCTTCTAGAGTGAGAGCCTTGTTTAGATTGAGGGTGGTTTGTAATGCGGTTCGATGTTTTAGGTAGTGTGGTGCAGTGGATGAGTGCGTGTTCTGTGGTTTCTGGTTGTTTGCAGTGTGGGCAGTTGCCTGTAGTGTGTTTTTTTAATTTTTTTAGGTGGTTATTTAGGTTGGTGTGTCCTGTTTGGAGTTTAGTGATTACTCTGTCGATTTTTTTTGATGGATGGAGAATTTTTTATCTGGTTAGTGGTTTGCTGAGTACTTTTTTGATTTGGCTATTTGAGTTTAGATATAGATTATGTCATTTTTTGGTGATTTTTTGCTTGTTTACACTTTTAATTTCTGATTTTGTGATGGGTAAGTTTAAGCTTATTTCTGAGATTTTGAGGGATAGTTGAGCTGCCTTATCGGCGTTTTCATTACCGTATATTCCTACGTGGGCTGGTATCCACAAGAAGGTTATTTGTTTGCCTGCCTTAGTTAGGTCGTTGGAGCTTTTAAGTATTTGATTTATTAATTTAGGTCGGTTTTGGGCATTTTTGTTATGGAGGGCTTGCAGTCCACTTAGAGAGTCGGTAAGTATTAGGATTTTTTGTGGTTTTTGGATTTTTGATTATGGAGGGCTGAGGCCATGCTCATTAGTTCTGCCGTGAATATTGATTGGTTGTTTGGGAGTCGAAAGGATTGTGTGGTTTTAGTTGGTTGTGTGGTATGGACTCCGAAACCTGTGTGTTTGGAGGTCGGATCTGAAGATCAGTCCGTGTAAATGTGACACCAATTTGGCCAATTTTCGTGTATGTATGCTAGTGTGGTGGTTTTAGCTATGTTTGGGTCGGTTTGTTTATTTATTTGGCTAGCTAGTGTTGTGTCTATTTTGGGTATTTTAAGTTTAGGGGTGAAGATATTTGATTGTTTGCAGTTTTGTTTAAGATTTTTAATTTGGTGTTCATTTAGGTAGTTTGTTATTCTTTGGGATATTGGAGTAAGAAAGGGGTGTTTACGAGCTACAGCTTGGTTTTGGGGGCTGATATTTTGGTTTATTAAGTTTTAGATGAGAGGGGTTAGGATAAGATTTGTGGGTGACTTTAATCCTTTCATTCTCTGTGGGTAATCCTTTCACGTTGATTGGAGGAAGTCACTCAACCAGGTCATGACAGGTCGTGAGTTTACTCACCAACCACTGTGAGCGTGTTTGGCATGACATCTTTTCTTGTATAAACATAGTAACGATGCTCACTCACTGTTAATCTGCTGCAGTTTGCTGGCAAAGTGGGGATAAACCTCAGTGTCAAAGACGATCAAACTTAGTTCGAATCCTTGTTTATCTGTGACATCTCCCAACTGGTGACATTTTCATAAACTTGGCAAGTGATGATGAATTTTAATATTAATATTATTATAGTTTATGAAATTGTTAATAAAACTTTAATAAAATTGTGCTTCACTCTCACGAAAAATACATTGTCTGTGAGTAAATTTATATTTTTATGTCACGTTACATCGGCATTTTTCAGTGATATTGCGAAGAAATAATTACCAGATTTGGGGACTACATGAAACATGGCTGGTTTTACATTTCTGATACAGGTGCTTGACTGACTGAGTAGTTCATGATCAATTAGATATTTTTAAATCAGTCAAGTTTGCAACAATAGATGAATAAGTTGATACATTTGGACCGCAGTTACCGATTAACAACTTAAGACATAGAGACAGGGAGGGAGGAGATATATAACCAAACCTATGGTCCTGTTGAGACAGTTGACAGTTAGAACGTTGAATTAAATGACAGTAAATAATTTGAACATTCTCCAGTAATATCATAAAATACATCATAACTCATAACGGTCCGAGAGTGTCAAGCGTGGGAAGGCACGGCGTCGGCTGGCGAGCGTGTGTGGCTAGAAGTCTAGCGGCGGTATCCTTGTACAAGTACAGACGGGGTCGTCCGTTTCGCTTTGAACAACCACCCCACCCTGACTGTAGGAGTTATATAATCGGTGCGCAAATAACTGTGTCAAGTCCACTGCCGGGCTGGTGCGGTGTCAGTGTCAGCGATGAACATGAATGCTCAAATTATAGACCTGTAGCACTCACAAGTTGCTTAGCCAAAATATTTGAAAAGTGTATATTCAATTCTCTGATAACAGCAAATATAACCTTAGAAATAGATTCAACATACAAACAATCAAACACAGACCTATGCTTAAAGGGCACTGATCTAACGCAATTCCCCGGGACTGGTTGTTGCCTTTGTTATTGTTTTTTCCCAGTGAGTACCCGGATGTATAGCAGAAATCTAGTCTAGTTCGCGACCTCTGCTGCACCATTTGTAAGCGCATTAGTCACTTTTATGGGTGGTAATAAGGGTGTATGGTCACAC